TTGGGGAGGGCCAGGGTCTCCGCTGACCGAGCCTGTCCCCCCACAGGTGTGCTGGCGCTCTGGGTCCTGGTCACGCACGTGATGTACATGCAGGATTACTGGAGGACCTGGCTCAAGGGGCTGCGTGGCTTCTTCTTCGTGGGCACCCTCTTCGCAGCCGTCTCCGTCGCTGCCTTCTGCACCTTCCTGGTGCTGGCCATCACCCGGCGCCAGAGTGAGGGGCGCTCCCGGGGGCCGCGGGTGGGATGGCCGGCTGGGACAAACGCCAAGCCCATTTCCCTGGGTTGATTCTTCCTCGCGACCGGCCCAGGGCCTGGGCAGACCGCTTCCTCCCTCCTCCCTGAAACGGGAAAGTGAGAGCCCCCACCCCCTGGGCCGGGCGCACGGAGTGCAAGGGTGTCACGCGGTCAGCAGGGTGGCAGGTACGTGGAGCGCCCGGTCAGGGACGGGCTGCCCAGCGCCGCGGCGGGAGCGCCCTCTGGTGACTGTCCCCAGGAAGTAGCCCAAGGCCTTCACGGCAGCGGAGCCTGCAGGTCACAGTAGCTAGAACTGCCCTTTTGGGTTTCCGAAGCTGTCCATCCGGACATGTGCGCACAAAGCCTCATCTTTCTCCCGAGGAACGCCCTGTGGTTTCAAACTGCTGACCTTGGGTTAGCAGCCCGGCCCATAACCACTAGGGCTCCGAGGCTGAGACTAGAGCCAGGTGTGCGATACCGGCCAGCGGTTGGCCAGCCCTGAACTTGCCCCAAACCCACCATCTCTCTCAAAGGTGGTCTACTTTAAGATTCCTGCCCCGCTCAGGTCTGCCTGTGGGGTGGGTGTGACTACCCGGTGCTGCGGGGGTGCTGGGTGCCCTGGCCGCAGTGCTGATCCAAAACCCTCTTGAGTCAGGCTCTGGCCCTTCTCTGCCCACAGGCCTCCTGGACCCCAACAGCTATTACCTCTCCTGCGTCTGGAGCTTCATTGCCTTCAAGTGGGCCTTCCTGCTCGGCCTCTACGCCCACCGCTACCGCGCCGACTTTGCTGACATCAGCATCCTCAGCGATTTCTGACCCACGGGTGGTCTCCACACCCTGGGGGGCCTCAAGACGGGGACTCAGCCTTTGAGACGTCGGATGGCCCGGCCCTTCGCTCGGGGGGCCCTAGGACTGGGGCAGAACACCCAGGGCAAGAGGCACGTGGACCCCAAAGCCGCTCTGCCCGCCCCCGGGAGACTCCGTGTGTGGTGGAAAGGGGGCCCTCTTGGCGGACCCTGGCTAGGAGGCAGCCCCACAGCAGTTCACAGGGACCCACTGTCTGGGTGCCTGGTGAGGAAACGCCAAGGTTAGGGTTGGCACATCTACTAGTAGGTACTTCTCACCTCCCACCCTAGCCCCGGTGTCCTATGGTCCCCTAAAAACCCTGGGCCCCCAGGGGAGGTGACAGCTGCCTCTCCCTGCAAAGCTTGGGGAGTGGAGGGGGGTGGGGGCAAGACCACCCTCACACATAGACCATACCCCACAGAGCAGGGGGCTTTGGGGGAGGAGGCCCCTGCCTGTGCCAGGCACTTCCAGCCCCATGTCCACCCTGACTGTTCACCCAGCCCTACTGTCCCCTGCTCACACCTCCCCCAGCACCTCCATCTTTGTCTTCTCCTCCCCTGGAAGGAGAAGAGCTGGCTTTGCTGCCCACACGTTGGCCCAAGGACTCACGAACTTGGGGCGGGGGGCGCAGTGGTTAACCCCATCTTTTTACATAGGCTGCCATTTTGCACAGTCTGACCCCCACCCCCTGACCTGTCCTGCCCTGACCTTTGCCTTATCTGTGTCACTGCCACTTCAGCAGAAATGCAGCGCCATTTGATCAGCTAGCCTCTGGTTGTTGCTTGTTGGGTGGGAGCCTGGGGGTGGGGGCAGTTGATGGAGGAGGGGGGTTCTGTAGTCATCAGATTAAGTCATTTCCCCCTCTGGCTCTCACGCCCCCCTCCCCTGCCAGGATGATCCCCATGACCACAGCCACCACTGTACCACTCTCTCCCCCCACCCCCAGAGGCCAGGCCACCTCGTCAGTCACACTCTCCCATGCTGCGACTGGGCAGGGCTCAGGTGCGGAGTCTGGAAACGCCTCTCAGGACTCTTGGAGCCATGAAGGCCAGCAGGCAGGCCAGGCTCTAGGAGGGGGGGTGGGGAGGAAGGCTCCTCTTTGTCTCTGCTGGGGGAGCTTGTCTGGGCCTGCACCTCACCCATTCTCTCGCCAGGCTCCAGGCTCCACACATGCTGAAAAGGGAGCTGGAAGGAACTATAAACAAAGGCTATTTCGGGAGCCTTTGACTGATCCACAGATGAGGAAGGGAGGTGGGCGGTGATTACCTGTGCTCCACTCCTAGCTGGGATGGAAACCCAGGGCTTCTGACCCAGGGCTCCCTAGGGAGACTGGGTCTGAGCATCTGGCTCCCACCCCACATACGCACAGCCAGCCCATGGTCTCAGCCTAGTGTCTCTACTCCGTTACTCTGGAGGGGGGCGGAGGGGAGTTACTAGGGTGTTCTGATAGGATGCCCCCCCCCCTCCTATCCCCTTGATAGGAGTCCTATCAAGTCCCAGCTGCCAAGGGAGGGCCAGGAGCTCTGGAGGGGCCTATGCCAGCCCAAGCTGCATCCCCTCTGAGGTACCTGCACTGGGTCCCCAAGTACCCCTGTGCACACCGACTCCATATCCCCAGGCCCTCAATCATTTTCAATTTTAAAGCAAATAAAACATTTATTCAGATTTTTTTCCATTTTTAGATTTTTTTTTTTTTTTACAAAAACATGCACACATACACAGGGCATGGTGGGTCTGGGAAATACACACGCTCACGCACGCACCCACGCACCCACGCACCCACACACACAAGCACACGCACACACACACATGCCAATACTTTCCTTCCTGGCCCCAAACACCTCGAAGACTGTTAGGGCAGCCTCCCCTTCTCTGCCTCTGTGTCTACTCTCCACCCACATCCCCTCAGCCAAGCTGGTCCTACATGGGGCAGGAATCAGAGTGGGGGCATGGGTGGGGGAGACCCCAGGCACAGAGAGGGTGGCAATGGGAGGGCAGTGACCCAGGTTCTCTGGAGGCCATGTTGTGCTTCTGGGGGAGATGAAGGCTTGGCACCATGGGGTCAGGAAGTACAGAACTCCGAAGGCATCTGTCCAGGGCTCCGAGGTGGCTGACATAGGGTAGCCCCTGGCAGGCACAGGGACTGCTCTCAAAGGGTGCTTCATCTCAGTGCCTAGGAGTGGCGCTTCCAGAGTAGGCGAAGGCAGCCAGCAAGAAGACAGACTCCCCTACACTCAGGCATAGGGGCCCCTAACTGAGGCCAAGTTCACATTTCTGTGTGGGGCCTGAGGCTGTGTGCAAAGCCCCAGGTCTGTAGAGCCGAGAATAGTGGTTACCGGTGGGTGGGCCCAACGAAGCTGGTCCCCTGCGCAGTCCTGAGAAACAGGGGCCACTGCCAGAGGCCTGCGCCCCGAGGGGCAGAATCGATTCTGGGGAGTGTCCTGTGGGGCTGTCTAGCCTGCCCCTTCTCAGGGTCCTCTCTGGTCCCCACCCAAGATCCAGGAGTCTTCTGGGGAGATGGCAAGGCAGGCCATCCTCTGGCCTCTGCCACCCACCCTCGGATCTCTGACGACCTGGGAGTGGGTGTTATGGCCAGAGCTTGGGAGAGAACTGGGCGCACAGGGCAAGGGTGGGCACAGGGCTAATCATCTGGAAGTCTCAGAGATTCATAGGTTCTTCCTCCTCCACCAGCCGCTCTGAGGACCTGGGAGAGGGACAAGACGAGGCTTCAGGTGAGCTTCCTCCCAGCTCTGGTCATCAAGCCTGAGGTCAGGGATCTGGGGTCCTCCTCAGGTTTAGAGAACCCAGGGGATAGAGAGGCTGAGGGCAGGGGTCAGGCATCACCTGTCTTTGGCCAGGATGCCCACAGACAGCGATGCCAGCGCAGTCACTGTCTCCACTTCTTCTGGGTCTGCCCTGGGCACCCTGGGCACCCAGGCTTCTGGACAGGAGGCCAGGCGCTGTATGCAACTCCAGTACTTACCTGAGGACAGAAGCTAAGTCAGAAAGGCAGAGAACAGCACATCCCTTCTTCCATCCCTCTGCACCTGCACCGGACGGAGCCTGACATAGGGGTGTCCTCAGCCTGACTAACTGAGCCCCCCATCTGCCCCTTCTCCCTCTCAACCCAACACCTGCCCCAACTTGGCCCCCGCAGCCCTGACTGGGCAAGCAGAGCAGGTCCAGCATGGCCTTTGGGTGGGGGAGTGAGGGTGGGTGGGGGGCGGTGCGGGGAGGTGCGGATGCCCAAGCCGTGCTCTTGCCCTGCCTGGCTGTAACGTCATCTCAGACTAGTCTCTGGGGCTGGGAAGTTCTTCAGGGAACGGCAGACCCATCTGCTGGTGGGCCCGGGTCTGGGTCCTCAGACCCCGAGCCCTGGTCTTCTGGAACAGGAGCCCCGCCCCCCTCCCAGGGCCACTCAGTCCAGCACCCAGGAGGGCATGGGGCACAGTGTGGCCTGCCCTAAACTGGCTACCTGCCCTAGGCCTGTGCTGCCTGCCCACCCCAGGGGCCACCAAACTGGCTGGCTGCCTCCAGGGAGGTGACTTTGACCTGTAACCTGTACCCAGGGAAGGGGGGCAGCAGAACTTAGGGTCTTTACTCAACGTGCACAGCGGATATTGAGTTGGATGGACAGTGTCAACTGCTTTCTAAATTTGGGGGTGTCCTAAGACCCTGCTCCAACGTAGGCAGCATCCCCAGGGGCTGCAGAGGTGGGCAAGGGTCACAGGTGGCTGCGGACTGGGTTCTGAGGCGGCTGCGCGCGCGCCATCTGGTGGACGCGGGGAGCATGTTCTCACGGGGATCTGGGCAGCACTTGTGGGTGGTGGGGTGGCAGCGCAGGGGTGCTCCCACCCAGTCGCAGGCCCTGCCACACTCACTGTGCACCCGGATCACAGCTTCCAGGGAGCGGATGGCGTTGAGGTTGGGTTTCTGTTTCCAGCTTTCTTCAGCCAGCGGGTCCACCTGCGGAGGAGAGCGTGTCCCCGCCCCGGGAGCCCCCTTTGAGAACTCAGTCATTAGGCCAAAGCCCTTGGAGGCCTGCTTGCATGCAGCTGAGGTCTGAGCGCCCCTCAGTCCCCGCAGCCCACTCGGGGGGCTGCGCATGCCGGAGGTGGGGCCGTGGGCGAGCTAGCCCAGGTCACGGTCCTGGGGGAACCACCATGAGGCCGAGGGAGACACCACGCACGGGACAGCGGTCTACACCTCACCTCTTCCTAGGCAAGGCCCACCTCTCAGGATGTGCATTTTCCCACGTACTGCTCCCCTGAGGGGCCCTGGTGGCATGGCAGGGACCCGTTGGGCTGCGGCCCTCAAGGCCAGCAGTTCGAAACCACCAGCCTCTCTCCGCGGGACAAAGAGGAGGCTTTCTACTCCCGTAAAGAGTTCCAGTCTTGGAAACCCACACGGGGCAGTTCTATCCTGTGGGTCGGCATCAACTCGATGGCAGTGAGTTTTTGTATATTACCCTTGAAGCAATTATTGACTTGAATTCTTTTAATCCACGCCGCCCCCCCCCCCACTCTCCATCTCACGGTTTTTTTCTTTTTAAAAATTAATCATTTTATTCGGGGGGTGGAGGGGTGGCTCTTATGGTCGCCAGTCTCTTGGTGGACCCGTGGCCAGGTTTCTCCAACCCAAGGACCCTGGCCTTCTGCCCGGGAGCCGGACCCGGGTGGAAGGCATGCAGGGGTGGCAGCTCACCTTGTTGCCCAGCAGAGCGGACACGCAGGCCTCGGAGGCATCACAGATGGCAGTGAGGTCATGGCCACCCTCCAAGGCCAACACCACCGCGCCTCCCGCCAAGTTCATCAGCTGCTGCGTCATGTACCCAAAGCCTAGACCGGTTGGGGAGGTGTCCGAGGGGAGACGTCGGAGGGGGCGGAGCAGAGGAGGGGGCGGAGCATAAGAGGGGTGGGACAGGGGAGGTGGGCGGAGCGGCGCGTCCTCTCCCTGATGCCAACACCCCGCTTGCTCTCTTGAATCCCCTATCAGGAATGCCTCTTGCATCCCACGAAAAACCTAAGGCACGGCTGACTAGGTCAGAGGAGCTTGGTGGTGCAATGGTTAAGCGCTCGGCTGTAAAACTAAAGGCTGGCAGTTCAGAGCCCACCCAGCAGCTCCGTGGGGGAGAAGTCTGGAGCCCTGTTCCGGGGAAGATTACAGACTGGGAAACCCCATAGGGCAGTGCTGCCCTGCCACGGGGGCCACTGAGTCAAAATCGATTCAGGCATCACGTGACAGCAACATGCCTCAAGCACGCTTCAAGAAGCAGAGGGATTTACGTAAGGTAGCCGGCTAAGAATCCACAGGGCCAAGACTGGGACTGGGGCAACACCCCCAGCCTGGTCTTTGTCACTACGCCACAGTGTGCAGCATCTCCTCTGACCTCCCCACCTCCCACCCCCACACCTGGTGGAGAAGCTGCCAACCCAGCCTGGGACCAACAGGGTAGAGGATGGCAGGGCACACAGTTCTATGAGTGCCCTTCCCCTCTGAGGTTTACTGAGCTCCCCAGAGGTTGGGTCAGCTCAAATGCTTCACAAGAAGGGCCCTGGGCTAGGCTAGGCTAGGCCCAGGGGCCACAGCCCAGTGCTCACACTCCTGGACGTGGGCCAGTCACTGCCTGCTTCCCACGGAGACTCGGCAGTACCTCCCACCCCAGCCTGGCCCCCATTCCCTACCACCCCTTGGGCTGGACTCCCCCTTACATTTGGCAGACACGTGGTAGCCACCCAGCGGGGGCAGGTGGCCCTCAGCAGCATCAAACCCAGCTGACACCAGGACCAGGTCTGGAGAGAACTCCCGGGCAATGGGCATCACGACCATCCTGTGAGGTTTCCAAGAGAAGGGACTCAGGGCCCCGCCTGCTTCTCTGTGGGCACCATTCTTAGGACTGTGACACACCAGCTCCCCAGCAGGGTTCTGCTGACCTCCTGGCCCCTAGCTGGTCACCCATATATGTCCTGGGCCCCACAGGGCACTGAACCAGGCAGAAAGGAGGGTGAGTGATCGTGACTGTATCCGTGAGGGCACCAGGGCGCTCCAAAAAGTCATGGGAAAAACAGAATGACAAGACAATGGAATTTCCCCACAAACTTTTGAAGTCTTCTTTTACCCTCCCACACCCACATCTACTCACACCCATGTGCTCCCACACACAAAGGTGCTTCTAAATTTTTTCATTGTAGTTTTTCTGAAGTCTGTGTGTGTGTGTGTGTGTGCGCGCGCGCGCGCACAGGCATGTGCCTGTGGGGTACAGTAGGCAGGGCTACAGAGCCGGGCTTTGGTCACTAAGCTTCTGGGATGCAATCATGGTGCTCAGCTGCTGCTCACCTTGCACGCAGTGGACACACCCACCCCTTGGGGCAGCTTGACCCGCTGAGGTCCTGGGCCCTAGTGTTGTTCATCCTCCTCCCTGGCCTGGCTCCGAGCTGCCTCCTTCCCACCCCGACTCAACCTTGAGGTCCTTTGGGTGCCCTTTGGGACCTTGGCCTCTGAGCACCCAGAAGCCAGGGTCCCCAGCCAGGACCGCTGAGGAGCAGGCTCTCACAGAGAGTACCTCCAGGCAAGCGTCGGGCGGGACACCTGCTCCCAGGATCCTCTCAGCCCAGTGGCCATGCAGGGACCTCAGAGTGAAACTGACCCATGCCTTCTGAATGGCATGTCTGGGAACTGTGATGGGGCTTTCTATTCCAGTGAAGAGGTACGGTCTCAAGGGCAGTTCTACCCTGTCCTACAGGCTTGCTGTCCGTACCAGTCCTATAAGTTGGCATCAACTCAATGGCTGTGAGTTTGATTTTGATTTGCTCCAGGTATCACCTGCTGCTCCACTGGGTCCTGCTTAAAGCCCACGCCCTCCAGGCAGCCTTCTTGGACTAAATGTGGCAGCTTTGTTCAGTTCACCCTGCCTGAACTCCCAGGACTCGGGTCTATCCTGGCTCTTGGTAAGGTGAGACTTCATGTGTGTACCTGTCCTCTCATGAGGATGGGAGACCGCCCCCTACCCCCTAGAGGCCAGTAGCTTTCCTCACCTTGGCTGACCTGGTGGTAAACGTTAGAGTGTTAAGTACAAGGTCAGCAGTTCAAACCTGCCAGCCGCTCTTCAGGAGAAATAGGAGGCTATCTGCTCCCGTAGAGATTCACTGCCTCAGAAACCCCATGTACGGTCACTGAGTCGGAACTACAGTGGACTACAATTGTGTTGTCCTGGGGGCTTGTGAAGAGGCCAGCCTAGTATTCAGTCATCAGTTTGGGACAGGCTGACAAGCTTACTGGTCACCTCCAACCTGGTGTGATTGGGAGAAGGGACTGGGAAAGGAAGCCTTCGGGGGTCCAGCCACCTCCAGGCCCCCAAGGTACCTACCTGAAGGCAGCCAGGTATTCAGGGTCCCCCATGGGGGGATCTAGACCTCCGGTCCAGGCCACATTGACATTGAAACCCTCGCCGCTGCCAGCCCCCACCTGCAAAACAAGAAGCAAGAGTGACCTAAGAGAACAGATTTCAGAAGCGGCATCCCAGCATGTTGGACAGTGAGCTGGCCCAGCTCCTTCACCCTCCGTGTGGAGGACCAGAGGGTCACTGGCCACTGGCGCCTTCTGCCCAGGACCACCCCGCTCGCCGGGACGGGAGCCCAAGGGAGCGCCGGAAGCTGCAGACCCACCCCCCAGCTACCTCATCCACAGCCCCACTGCCAGGGAAGAAGTTGCCGTTGTCGTGACGATGCAGCGAGATATAGAGCACGCTGGGGTCTTGGTAGAAGGTCTGCTGGGTGCCATTGCCATGGTGAACGTCCTGTGCAGGGAGATGGAGGGGGGAGGGGGGCTAAGGCAGGGAGACAGAGGCTGGGACAGACTGGACAGGTGGCAAGTCTGAGGGTCAGCCCTTAGCTGTGAAATGGGTGATGCTGGGGATGGCACTCAGGATTCAGTACAGTGCAGCACGTAGCACGTTTAAAACCATTAGCATCTAAAGGCACACTGGTGTTACCTGCCACCACTGTTACCACTACCTGTTGGGGACATGCAGGTATGACCCCGTTCTGCTGAAAGGCCCAAACCACCCGCTGCCACCCAGAGGATTCCAATTCACAGCAAGCCTCTAGCACAGAATAGAAGTACCCCTGTGGCATTCTAAGATTGTAAATCTTCAGGGATGCACACAGCCCTGTCTCTCCCCACTCAGAGTGTCTGGTGGGTTTGAACCACTGACCTTGAAGCTAGCAGTCCAATGCATTACTACCACCTCCACCCCAGCAGAGTTCCTTATAGAGGCCCAAAGACAGCTCAAATGAGACCTCCCATCTGAAATGGGACTTCCACCCCCCACACCATCTCATCTGGGCCTCCCAGCAGCCTGTGAAGTAGGTCTGATCTTCAGGAGCAACTGAGGCTCAGGAAGGGGACTGCAGAAGTAGGGGCTGATGCCAGGGCCGCCTGCTCTGTGCTCCCGGGCAGCTAGGAAGCAGACCTACCCAGTCCACGATGAGGATCTTGCTAGCCTTGCCCTGTTGTTGCAGTTGCCGACAGGCGATGGCCACCGAGTTGAAGAAGCAGAAGCCCCTGGAAGGTACAGAGAGAAGCCCTGCTCACCTTTTCCTCCTCCACGTCCTCACCTCCCCAGCTCCAGGACACGGCTCAGGGGGCGCAAGGGAAAATGTCCCAAG